CTATAGAAGGAAGATAACATCTTAGCCACCAGAAGGAAGAGCGGTAGCTAATTCCTCCCCCCGCGAAGAAATGCCTTACGGCGGTACCATGGGGGATCAGAGGATAGAAGAGAAAGGGGTTTAGGGTTTAGTGGGTAGGGGCGTCAGCGTCAAGTTTTAGTATGACGCTACGTCGAGTCGCCACATATCCGGGCCATTATCTATGCCTAGAATCCGTAAAAAGGATTCCCCCCCCTAAAGGGAAAAAAAAAAAAAAAAAAAAAAACAACACACACACACACACACACACACACACACACACACACATACACACACACATACAAACATTCAGACATCAAAGCGAAAACATTCAGGGAAGCTTTCTAGGACCTTAAAACGTGAAGATCTGGTGAGAACTCGATTTTCGAAAAACGGGGTAAAACCAATAACTTCCCGATTTTTGAAAATTTTCAATTTTCTTAGCGGGAAGTTAAAAATTAGGAAAACGGTTGACCCTGAAGGCCATCCCCGCAACTTCCCGCTAATTTCATCATACGCAGGTGCTTAAAATTGCACTTATGATGTTTTTGAGCTCTTCGATCCGAAAATATTGCTACAGAATGAATGCATGAACGATCATATATATGATCCCTATCAAGTCATATCCGGCCTGATAAAATCATATCAAAACATATAAAAAAATTATAAACGGGCATATCAAATTATATCAAGCTGTCAGCTGAAGCCTATTGGTCATTAAAAGCTAATGGTTTCTACTTGTATATTACACACCAAAGGTGCAGAGTATTTGATATTATTGATGTCAACTTATGCTTTAAATGCTGCAGACCAAATCACAATCACAAGAAATGTGCAAATGACGTTAAATGTGCGTTTTGTGCGGGTGATCATGATTCAAGGAAATGTCAAAGTGAAGAACTTAAGTGTATAAATTGTACGTACTATAATGAAAAATACGGCAATAACCGCTGTACTAAGCATAAGGCGACGGACACTAGCAAATGTGAATATTTGAAGTATAAAGTGAATAAATTTGTTGCATCGTCTGATTATCCTACTAATCCTAGTGTACCGACTTACTTATGGTAGATAGTGAAGAATTAGAAAAAGACTTTAATATAGAAATACTATGTGATAATATAGACGATGTAAAAAACAGTTTAACCTTGATGATTTAATAATTGTTAGCATCAACGTTAGAGGACTAAATTCAAACTTAGAGAGGCTAGAATGCCTTTTAATGAGGCTAATAGTGAAGCCAGACATTATCATTTGTTGTGAAACTTGGAATCTCCAGTGTTTTAAACTATTTGCAATTGAAGACTACAACATATACTACAACAATAGTCATGTGAACAAAGCAGATGGTGTCGTCATTTATGTAAGAAGATGTATAGACCACTCTGTGATAGATGAAGAGATAAATGGAATTAAATTCTTGTCAACAATAGTGAAAGATAAAAAAGGTAAAGATAAAAGATAAAAAAGTGATAAAAGTGACTGGAACATATAGATCACATGATATAAACAAAATTGACTATGTTGATGCTGTCAAGTGCTATATAAATAGTAACAAAAAAAGTACTAATTATGTCATAGCGGGTGACTTTAATATAAATTTAATTAGTCCGGATGAAATAGCTGATAGTTTCCTAACTAATTTCTTAAATTGCGGTTATATTCCATATTTTAACTGTGTCACAAGACCAAACCCTACAGGCGAAGGTGGCTCTTGTATAGATAATTTTTATATAAAATCGGACATTAAAAATATTAAATCATTCTGCCATACAGTGACCTTCACTGACCATTTTTCTTTGTTTGCATCGATTAATTTAAATAAAAACGTGAAAGAATGGTTGCCTAAGCAGAGTATCAACTACGACAAATTAAGTTTTTTAAGTGATCAGGTAAATTGGAGCGTTATATCACAAGAACAAGAACCTAATACTGCAATAAATATGCTTATAGAAAATATTCAATCTCTTATTAAAAACTCTTATAAAGTGACAAATAAAAACAATAAATGTACAAATAATATGAGGAAAAGCTGGGTTACAAAGGGAATATACATATCATGCAAAAAGAAAGAACTTCTATACTTATGTTGGAATAAGGATAGGAGTAATTCAGCTTTAAAGGCCAAATATAATAATTATTGTAAGATATTAAATAAAGTTATTAAAAATGCAAAACAAAATTATATAAAGCTTTAGGTAAAAAAGTTCCATAATGATAGTAAAAAAATGTGGGGTTTTATTAAAATGAATTTAAGTCAAAAAGAAGGTAAAATGAGTAATATTGAGTATTTAGTTAATGATGATAACAAAATAACTGATAAAAAAGAAATTGCAGATATTTTTGTAAAGTATTTTAGCAACATTGGATGTGAACTGGCATCTAAAATAGATAATAAAATTAAATATCAAAAGAAAACATATGAATTAAACCAGTTCAGTATTTTTCTCAAGCCAACAACTGATGAAATTGAGAAAGTCGTTAATAATTTAAAAATTAAAGCTGGTGGAGTTGATAGTATTAATAGTAAGGTCTTGAAGTGTTTAAATAAAAAAATTAGTGGTCCGCTTGAACATATATTTAATATCTGTTTAAAAAAAAAAAAAAGTGTGTGTGTCCGCTCCGACGCACGACTGGAGTTTACTCCTCAAGAACGATTATAAAATAAATAAATAGATAAGGGAATACGGGTATAAATGAAAAAATTATTTATTAATAAAGCTTATTAAATATAAACAATTCCTTCTATCAGTGAATGGACAACTTATATATTAATTGTAAAAGTGAATTATATAGACTTACTTAATTACCGCATCCACGTGTTCCGCAACTCCCGGATCATTCTCACTAGAATACGTAACTTCCATATTTTACTGTATTCAACTGACACAAATTTATATTTATATCGATTATAAATAAATTATAAAATTTAAAACAATATCTCCGCAAGTTCAAAGTGTTTGTAGGTTAATATCGAATAAATAAATGTTTAGAAATGTATTGATATAGTTATGCAGGCGCTACACTGTACATGTATAATGTGTATGCTATTATACACACACAGATATATACTAAACATATACAAGTACATGGAGCCGAGCATACCGTGTGGTGGGGAATGGTCAGACTATAGCGCATAACGCATTTCGTGTGACATGCTATACTCTCTAGTACGATTTTGGTCCCCATAATTTTCATACCCCGGGCCTATATATGTAAATCGATTCTTAAGGAGTAAACTCCAATAAAGGCATCTGGCCATGTGCTTTGAAAACCGCGGAAATTATTCCAGTTTTTAAAGCTGGTGATAAATCTGAGCCTTCAAACTATAGGCCAATTTCATTAATATCCAATGTTGCTAAAATAATGGAAAAAATAGTATGTGAAAGATTAATTAACTTTGTAAACAAGCATAAAATTATATCTGATAGGCAGTACGGTTTTGTCAAAAGCAGAAATACCAACGATGCAATCAGCTTTATTACTGAATATGTATAAAAAAATCTTGATTCGGATTGCCCAACTGCGATAGCTTTTCTGGATTTGGCAAAAGCCTTTGATACAGTTAACCATTCAATTTTGCTTGAGAAGTTAGAAGCACATGGAATAAGGGGTTGTGTTTTGGAGCTATTATGAGAAGTTATCTTAGCGAGAGATATCAAAGTGTAAAAATAAATGATAAATTAAGTGAAAGGATGCTTGTTAAAGTAGGAGTGCCCCAGGGTACTATCCTGGGACCACTGTTATTTATTCTATATATCAATGACATTTTTAAAGTTATCCCGAACGGATCCCTTGTTTCATACGCAGATGACACTGCGGTACTGTGCTCTGGCAAAAATTGGAATGACGTCTGATCTAAACTTAATTATTGGCTAAGTAATTTAAATCTATGGTTGTGTAGTAATCAATTATCGCTCAACATTGATAAGTCCTCTTTCATAACTTTTGGTTGTTATATTGATAGTGTACCAAATGAATTTGAACTGAATATCAATAATAAAATGTTGCTACGAGTGCAATATTATAAATATCTAGGTTTAATTATCGATAGTCGTATGAAATGGGACTATCATATAAAAGAGCTATTAAAAAAATTAAAATACTTCATTTTTCTGTTCCATAAGATAAGTAGTTTCATGAATAAGAAAACGTTAAAAATAATATATCATGCCCTTATAGAAAGCATTATTAACTATGGAATTACGGCGTGGGGAAGTGCATATAATAATATTCTAAAATCCATTCTGATAAATCAGAGCAAAATAATTAATAAATTAGGCGATAATATGTCTAATGTACTCGATATAAGTAAAACCTATATTATCAGTTCGTTGTCAATGTTTTATGATAAATGCAAAGTTGAGTATGAAAATGTATGTGTTAATACTAGAAATAGATCTATTCCCTTACCAAAGATAAATAAAAAAATTGCTAGCAAGAGTGCTAGATACACTGCTATTAAATACTTTAATAAACTACCCAATAATTTAAAGTGTTTGAAAGGTGATAAGAAATCAAACAAAAATAATCTACTGAAATGGATTGTAAATGTATGAAGGCTAGTAATTGTACTTTGGCACTAAACTTTAAAACTTTAATTAGTAATATTAAATATTTTAGTAACTTATAATTGTTATCTATTTAGTTTATATAAATTCACTATCTTGAATTAATAAATATTATACCAGTCCTGTGCACAGATGCTTTTGTATCTCTATAGGACAGATTGTAATATAGTTATGTACATGTAAATATATTGATCTGTATTTTTTTTCTACTGGTTGAATAAATAAAAAAAAAAAATATCAGAATATATCAACAAATTATATATAGATATATCAAATTATATCAGCCCAGATCAAATTATATTAGACCAGATCAAGCCATATCAAGCCTGATCAAGCTATATCAGGCCTATGGCCAATTTTCATATCAGGTCATATCAGAACCTATCAAAAATTATACATGGACATATCAGATCATATCAAGCCTGATATGATTATATAAAAAATGTTGATATGGCCATATTAGGACATTTCAGGATTGATCAGAATATTTTTTCACGGGCATTTAACACGTTGATTTGATGCAAAAGATTTATAAATCTTACTGTCAACTATTTTTAACAATATTAATATGTCTAAATAGTATAGAAAATAAATCTTCAGGTTATCTGATCAAAGATTTAATCTCCTTTTAAATAAACATTTAATATTAAAACTGAAATAGATAATTGGATTCAATTAAACAATTTTTTTTCCTAAAGCGATTGCAAGAGAATCGTAGTAAGAAAAATAATACTAATAATAATGTATGTTTTACTAGCTATAACTAATTCTTCCTGAACTTAAATTTCTTATTCGTTAACTGTTAGAAAATCATACTACTGAATTCAAATTTCAATATTTTTTTATTAAAAGATTAATTTAACTATGAAAAAAATTTTTTCTCAGCATTAAATAAAATAAAATACTTTATCGAAGTAATTTTTCTTAAAATTTTACATTTTTTTACTCAGTGAATTTTTTGTTCATAATTCTTAATGAAACTTTTTTAAATAATTATTCTTGAATTAGTATTCGACTAATTAAATACACACCTAATTGATCAAAAAAATTTTACTACCAAGCATGTTTTAAAATACAATCATCCATAACCAAATTAGAAGCTGTGTTTTCCATCAGTAAGATGGCCAATAAATTACTAACTGGAAAGAGCAGACTTATTAAAACGTTTAACTTAGGTTTGTCCCGGTCGGCGGATGGTGTTTCAGGTGAAAATTTACTGGCAATACCACCAGTTAATAAAACCGTTATGGAAGGAGAAATTGTTGAGTTTCAGTGTGTTACCAAAATTCCGAACATGATCGTCACTTGGTTACGAGATGGCATTGAGATCCCGGAAGTAGAGGTACGGATATTTTGCTTAGCATTTGAAACTCAAAAAATCAAAAACAGTAAAACATTAATGACCCTTTCTTAAATTATTTTCAGGATCTCAGAGATCGTGCTTCTGTTGACGATAACGGAACACTTATTATAAGACCATCAGCGATTGGCGATTTGGGCGAATATACCTGCATAGTAACAGATAATGTCGGAGATCAACAATCAGCATCAGCTTTTCTCAACGTTCAATGTAAACGATTAACGTTTAATTCGTTTAAGCTTAGGTTTTTCAACTAGCAGGATTGTAATGAAATTGACAATAACATTTCAGATAAAGCAAAGGTTATTTATGCTCCGAGAGAGGTATTTTTGCCGTATGGAAAGCCAGCTCTGTTGGACTGTCATTTCCGAGCAAATCCTCCGCTCACTAACTTACGATGGGAGAAAGACGGATTCCTGTTTGATCCTTACAATGTTCCAGGTGTTTTTTACAGGAGAAATGGGTCTTTATACTTTAGCAAAGTCGATGAAACACATTCTGGAAGCTATAGCTGTACTCCTTATAACGAACTTGGTACTGATGGACCTAGTCCATCTATTTCAGTGGTATGTTACAGTTTTGATTTAATTGTCTTTCAAAATTTCTAATCTGCTACTGCAGATCGTTTGATAAGTTATTAACTTAATTCTGATTCTTTCTAATCTTCAAGGGAATTAGCTGCTTAGAAAAATTTTTTCTTTAAGTTATTCTTTATCACATTCTTATCTGCATGATTTAGTCAATTTTTAACTGACGTTGATAAATAAAGCATGATTCAGTCTTTTTACGGAAAAGAATATTCACTGAAAAAAAAAAATTAACTTGATTCGAGAGAAAAATTCTTGAACCAAGAAAATAATTTTGAAGAGAGTAATTGTCTTGAATCAAGACGAAAAATTTTTGAATCAAGTAAAATTTCCTTAAATCAAGAAAAATTATATTAGTTCAAGAATTTTTCTACTCAAATCAAGAAGATTAAGTTCTTCAAAATTATATACTTGATTCAAGAACATTTTTTTTGTGTTGGTTTCAAATGAAACATCCAAATCCATAGATAAGTTTTCGATTAAAGGTAGTGTTGAATATTTCTGTCAAAGGACGCATGATCATTGAATTGTCGCTATATGAGGGAAGAGGAATTTAGGTTCTAAAATAAAAAATTTTTTTTTTACTTTCCTATAAGAAGCTCATTTCCACTCGTTTTCAATTCAATCAACTCCTTAATCAATTTTTATTTAATGCAATATGTTAATTGACGTCACACTTTTATAAAAATTAATGAATATTACTTTTTTTTCTCTCATGCATGACATGATATGACCAGACCAGGCCAGACCATATATGATCTAATCAGGCCATACATGACCATATCAGAAATTTTTTCACAGGTTTAGAAGACAATAATTTAGCATGAATCGAAATGAATAATTCTCATGATCTATATATAATGTTTTTTATGGTCGTATTATTCCTGAAAATCAGGAATATATTTATTTACTTATTTAGGAATGTCTGCCTATCCGTATCATAATTGATACAGCACCCCAGATTTATGACAACAGTGTTATGTCCGAATTAATTATAAATGAATGATTAATGGTGAGCGGGGCTTGGAGGGGGCTTAGACAAATTTTAAATAGATTTTTTTCTTGTAGTGAAGCTACAAGAGTTTTATTTTTATGTGGATTCTTGAACGCTCCCTGGTAACCAGGGTTTCCCGACAACGAAATGAGAGGGAAGTCGATGTGAAATGCTGAACTTACGATCATCCTTTATGGTCTTTATTATTTCCTATTAAATCTTGTTACGAGATCGATAGCAGCAAAAATCTCAAGGAGAAAATTTTCGTGTCGCAAGGGTGTAAGGAGCTGACTCACGATCTACTAAACCGGAAAATCAATCTCGAGAATAATCTCGTTGCTCGATAGACAGCAACAAGGTGTCTCGAAACTGATCTCTGGGTCAGAGAACTGCTAGTATTACAGCAGAACTTCGTAAGCTGATCGTAGAGTTTACTCAACACTAGGTCACAGCTATGAGTACGATCAATATAATGCACTGGCCAAGATATGTTAATGACCTTGACAAAAATTCCACGTCAGTAAAATCGTAGTCTACTGGTAATGCGATAGCTAAGTGTATTGCAATGGATGAGTTTAACGGACGAGATTATAAACTGTGCCAATGAACTGAAATATCTTAGTCAGCAGACATTTTCTTTTATATGCAACGAGTTTAATAACGAAATAATGTTTTACTCGTAATAACTATAATACAAAGATCATTGACGGTTGACGCTACCACCAAATTCTCACTGTGTAGCTATATACACCCGAAAAAATAATAAAACTTAAGTTTATAATTATTTACCCATTAGAATGATCGTGGTATTTAAATTAGCTTTGGTGGAAAAGAATAAAGTCAATGAGTCATAACTTATTCAAAATCACATTCTGTAATTAATTGAGCTGAAAATCCATGAAAATCCATAACACGGTAACAATCTTATGTGTTGGTCTACTGTCGAATCAATACACACAAAATCCATGAAAAAAGAGCGCAACACGGTAACAAGCTTATAAATTGATAGTGGGATTAGAAGTCAGTGGTATCAATTGTCGTTGGGATTAAATGTCGCTGGGATCATTTGTCACTGGACTCAGTTGTCGTGTGACCAAATTGCTGGGATCAGTTATCATGGAACCGATTGACATTATATTAGTTCAGACTTATATATTAAAAAATCTTGACAACATTAACAAAGAAATCTTATGTTATTGCTATTGAAGGATTATCTTTATTCATTATTTCAGGTAGTTCAAAGACCACCCGTATTTACAGTGACTCCGCAACGTTTATACATGAGAAAACTTGGCGAAAGCTTGGAAATACCTTGCGATGCTCGAGATGGTGATCAGTCTCAACCACCCACAATCGTCTGGTTTAAAGTATGTTTTCCGTTCAATATAAATTTTTCCGTAATCTAAAAAAATTGTAGCGTTAGACACTTGTTCTTTTATTGTGCTTTGTAGCATACAATTTAGTTATCTATAATTCATTCTAGTCGCTTTCTATCTCGGACTCTGTTGTATTATAAATAAAATAAATAATTGCCATGATTACAAGGTTAATTATTTAGTTAATTTTAGTTTAGTTTAGTTTAGATGAGTAGGTAACTAAGTAAGTGGGTAACTAACATTAAAGGGTTTATAAATAAAATAAATGAATACATAACTAAATTGGGGAAAAGTACTAACACAACCTTCGGTCAGAAGGACGGGTCACCACTCTCACAGGAACGGGCTATTCTCAATGGCGGAAATTTGACGATCGAACGGATTCAAGAGCAAGATCGGGGACTTTATCAGTGTGCTGCTAGTAATGAAGCAGCTACTGTAGTCGCTGATGCTGAACTAATGGTTTTGAATGTTCCTCCACGTGCTCCTTACAATCTTAATGCTAACACGAGCAAAGACTCGGTTACTCTCACTTGGGTTCCTGGATATGTCAGGCCGAAAATGGAGTACGCAGTTTGGTAAGTCATGTTTTTATCATTTTACATCGTAGTTTTAGTTAGCGACTTAAAACAAAGAAATCTTCCGATTTTTAATCAATAATTTGATAAATAATGATTAATGATAAATCAGTAGTTTGAATTCATGTTTAAATCAAATGTTCTAATCGGAAAAAATGTAGTCGCCTGTACTCTTGCGAAATTTTCTGTATTTAAAAGTCTAGTTCTAATGCATGAGTTTCCAAAATTTGTGGTCATGATTTATCGTTAAGTTAATTATCTATTCAAGAGCGAAGCGTTTTTTTTTGGAAATTTTCATTTATTTATGCGTAAAATGCGTTTTAAGATTCGATTTGTTGTACAAGTATGGTAGAAATACTTCCACTTGTCCAATAGAGGTTGAGAGAGAAAAAAGTGTTCTTAATAACCGAAACTTCTTAATAAACGAAATTATTAGAAAGAATTTTACATTAAAAAATAGTTTTAATAAGTAATATGTTTAGGTATAGACCTACTGATACCACTGAGTGGAAGACAATGAAAATCCCATCGAAGAAAATCACAGAAGCCACTATTCTTAATCTTACACCAGGGCGCGAATATGAATTTATGGTACTCAGTCAAGATAAACATGGAGATGGTATGTTCAGCAAGTCTATTCGAGTTTTAACGCAAAACAAAAATGGTAACTATTTACTTTTTTTTAATTATAAATTTACATAACAATGACTTAATAGTATACCTAGATTTTATTATTTCATCATTTTATCACATCAAAAGCGCCGCAATATTAAATGTTAATAAAAATTTTCCGTCTACCATATTTTTAGAAATTCAAAAAAAGCAAGCTTGTTACACTGAAATAAAAAATAAATAAGCAATGTTGTGGTAAGAAATTGATTTGTTGAAAATTTTTAACAATTTTATTTTTTATCTGAAGAAATAAATATTATTCTCACAGTAATTTTCTTATAAAAAAAAAGGTCGTTTTGATTTTGAAAAAAAATTTTATATACACAACTTGCGAATTTTCATCCGAAATTGTTTTTTAACGGTGAAAATGCGAAGTTTTGTGTACAGTTGCGACAACAGATTCTGATTTTGACAGTGTTTTCACTGGGTATTCAGGGAGTACTACTGGTTTTCTTACACAGAAAAAAAGGTTCATTGAGCCAAGAAAATATTTTTCTTCCTAATTATTTTCTTGAGCAAAAAAAAATTTGATCCAAGAAAATTTATTTAAGTCAAGAAAATCTTCTTGTTTTGAGAAAATTCAGCCTCTTGTTCCAAAAAATTTAGTTCTCGATAGAAGTAAATTTTCATTAATATTTTTATTGATTAACATGTCAAATGGAAAGATCAAATAATATTGAATCATTTTTTTTTTATTCAATATGTATGATTGCACGCTAAAATCATATAAAATGGGTATCAAATATTCAAGAGAAACATTTTCTCAGCTGAAGTAGGTAGTGCTGCTTCCCTAAAGTATCTAAAAATCTTGATCAAATATAAAAATTTATTGTATCAAGTATTTATGATAATTTGAATTAAGAAAAAATTCCTTCTACCAAGAATAGAATGTCAAAACAAATTTTTTTTTTGCCAACACAACTACGGTTTTCCTTCAGGCACCCGAAAATTTTCTTGAGCCAAGAATTTTGTTCTCCAGTCAAGAAATTTTTCTTTCTGTATATGGAGTGTTGTCCATATCGAGGGTACTCTGACGTAACCTCGTATCTCAAAAAACACTATTTTACGGAGAAACAAAAAACTTTTTTCAAGAAAATCAAATTATAAAATCGTAAACGTCTATCGCTAATTTCAAAGTTTTAGTACTTTCTCATCGATATATACAATTATGTTTCAGAAAAAAAATTAAATATATATAAATCATAACCTCCAAAAATCGAGTTACGAGGTTACGTCAGAGTACCCTCGATATATTCTCACGGAGCGTCTACAGAGTATTGCTGGGTTTTCGCGGAGTATTCTCAGAGTATTCACGAATTTTTGCTGTTTTTTTTTAAATATTAGAAAAGGAAAATGAAATAATTATTGCATAGTATTTTAGAATTCAATTGACATTAATTAGACATTATGATATAATTATTTTATGAAATAAAGTGACAGGCCTCAGGCAGACTCGAATGCGGTACTTTGCTTACCCCGGTACCAGCTTTACTATTAATCAAAATGTATTATAATTGACAGTTAAAATGAATAAGTAATTACTTTAATAAGAGTATTTTTATTTTTGTGCTTATTGGAAAAAAATTATTCTTAATGGAATTTTTTAGATGCTTCTCTTGAGTATACTGAAAAAAAAAATTATTTCGAATTAATCATTTCTAAAGTATCTATGTCTTCCTAAAAACTCATGAAATAGAAGAATAGAATGAGTCAATAATTTATCCATAATTACACAAACATATAAATAAAAAATATGATACACTATGTATAGAATTGAAACTGAATTTTTTAATTTAAATTAAGAGAATTTTTTATAGTGAACAATTTTTTTTTGGTTATTCGTTTTCATAAACAATACATAAGTTGTACTTGAGGTTGTTTGAAAAACCGAAAACCACTGCTAGAACTTCGCAAAAATCCTGCGTAAAGATCTCATTGACTCCGCAAATACTCTCAGAAAACTTCGGTGGAAAAATTCCATAAGAACATCGACAAAACTCCGGATAAACCCCGTAATAACACCGAATAAGAAACTCCGCAAAGATCCCGCTTGAACACTGGCAGTACTTCGTGGATACACCAACAATGCTCTGTGAATACTCCACGAACATTTCATGAGAGCACCGGTAATACTTCATACATACTCCGTGAAAACACCGACAATACTCTGTGGATACTCAGTGAGATCACTGGCAATACTCCACGGAAACCTGAATAAAAGACTGTTGGAATCTTGTGTCGTAACTGCACACAATACCTCGCGTTTAAGCAGCTGAAACACCGCGTATAATTCAAAGACTTCCCTCCAAAAGGGAGTATACTCCGCGTAAAATTCGAGTTTACATCGGGTCATCGAAACGGCTAGGTATATAGTTTATAATTGTTACTACATTAATTATAACATTGTGTTCAGGACAACTGAATCGGAATTTAGCATCAGAATTCAAGAGTACTCAAGGTAAATTTTTTCTCCTCCAAAATATATTATCGCTCATCATAAATGAAGAAATTACTAAAATGATATTCTCTTTTTACATTTTTTTTCAATATTAGAAAGTTTAGAGCCCCCACAAAATCTAAAAGTCCAAGTAACTGCTGAAGGGTATTTAGTAACGTGGGATCCACCTTCGAACGCAAATATCAAACTCTATGTTGTAAGATGGTTTCGAGGGTCAACTGATGAGCATTTACACGGCAGAGCTGAAACTACAGACACATTCTATTTAAGTATGTGCTCATAAATTTTAACTAATTCGATAAAAAAACAGTTTGCAAAATTTTTCTTAATTAACACAAAAAAATATTGAAACTGTTACAGTTAAAAGTTTAGAAGAGGAAAGTAGTTACATTTTTGAAGTATCGGCAATGTCACAGTCCGACGATGTAGCAACTAGCGAACAATTTACACTAGAAGTACCAGCTTACCGAAGGAATCGAGCTATTTCCATGGGGATCGTAGCAGGAGTCGGATTTCTAGCTGCTTCATTGGCTGCGATTTGGTGGTCACGAAAACGATTTTGTCAACCGACAATGAATAAATAAAATAAACGACTGTCATAATATTCATATTAAAATTGATTTTTCTAATGTACTACTACTAATTTATAGGCAAAAAATAAATATATTTTATGGGAGTTTCCTATATTATAGGAACGGTTTATCAATAAATGATCAATGATTTTGAAGAAATCTGCCGGACCAAAGTTAAGTCCTCTTTTATGTGTTCGTTAGAGTTTTTAAAATATACTATTGTTACAGTTGATAGTATTATAATGATTCATAATTCTATAATAATAGATGATATTTTGTCATTGTTCAAAAATTTTATCCATCGCTTTGTTGCGAGTTTGCTGATACTTTTTATCTGAAATAAAGTAAAATAATGTTTGTTATATAACTCTTATATTTTCATGACTAAATGTCATAATACTATTTTATTTTTTAGTTGTATTAAAATCAATTTGCTTTTTAATCCTTTTTAAATCCTATCAAAAAAAATTTTTTTAATTGGTGAATAGAATTTATAGATTTCATCAGATGAGAAACAAATTCGTGACAGTTTTTATTTTTAACTTTCCGCTAGAAAAATTGGAAATTTTCGAAAATCGGGAAGTTATTGGTTTTAACCCGTAATTAGAAAATCGAGTTTTCATCAGATCTCGACGTTTTGAGGTCCTAGGAAGCTTCTATGACGATTTTTACGTTGTATCGATTGAAGATCATATATTTTTGAAGAAGGTATGCTTGTAAAAGTTAGCATATTGATACAATCTAAAATTGTTGATAAGAGCTCAGAATCGAATCGAGCAACAAAATTTTAAATTCAGTACATAATTACTAAAAAAGGACTAAATTTTTCATTAGACATACATTTTGTTGCTTGAAAAATGGTTGAGATTTTTATGACAATGCTGGGCGGTTTCAATGCGCGGTTTATAGGCGTGAATAAAATGATAATAGATATTGAGAAATGTTTTTCTCTTGAGCTAAGATGATAATATTCGAGACAAGTGATTCTTGAAGAAAGATAATCGATCGTCTATATAATATATTTCTTGGAAAAATTATTTCTATTGATTGAAGATAGTTTTTCTATCAATATATCAAAAGCAAGAAAAAAACTATGTTTAGAAAAAGGTTTATCTTGTTGAACCTCAAACTTTCTTATCAAACTTATAAATTAAAAAAATAGTACAGCTAAATTAGTTTACAAACGTTTACTATTGAAAGACTCGTTTAAATAGCTACGGTTTTGAAAACAGATTTCAGTTTTTTTTTTATCAAGATCGATGGAGATTTCTACTGTTTGCAACTTCCAAGTATTTGACGATTCCATTTGGTCTTACCTGAAAGTGGGGGACTATTTAACGGCAACAATAACAACAACATCGACATCTATAGTAACGACACAATATTAGGTTAGTTTTTCAGTCGTTCTAGTTTCATTCGTGGTACGGCAATGGGGACTGCATTTCCCGTAGACATGCCAATCACGTTCCAGATTGTCGAGACTAAGTCGCCACACACTGTCTCCAGACGTTCTTTTTCTAATTTATCTTTTTTGTTAGTGATTTTCGCTTAGACAATTTCTTCCCCGGTTACAATTTATTCACCATGACTACTGACTACATTTCTTCTTCTACAGCTCTCGGTAAATTATCTTAAAGAGCTAACCGTGTAATTAAAATAGTTGAGCTATATATTTATTAGAATAGAGGAAAGAAAGGGGAAGCGACTTATCTGTATGTTTAAGGTGACAATAATACGCCAGGTCGCGTGCCAAATAGTTGTCATTAAGATTCATGCCATCTGACTCGAATGGACGATACTTTCCCAACGTAAAAGAAAGTTTGTGTCACGCCTTTAACCGGCCGTTTCATTGCAATTAATTATTATACAATATTTATCACATGAAACACAATAAATTCATAATAAATAAATTTATTATTATTTCTTTATTACAAGTATTAACTTTTTCTTTTTTTGTTATAAATATTTATCAAGATAATAAATAACAACTGTCAGGTACTTAATATTTAATGAACTTAAACGCTTTTTTTTTCATTTGGAATTTTTTTATTCAATAGTCAATTTTTTTTTATAAAAATTTTTTTTGTTTTTTGATTTTTTATAGAAATTTCTAATTAAAATTTAAAGCGCGTTAATAAAAATATAAAGTTTTATACACAGGAAAAAATGTTTGTTGAATTACTATTAAAATTACGTTAATTGTATTGGTTGTTTAAAAAATTTTACCGTATCCTACCATAAAATTCTACTTTAATTAACTACAAATTGTACAGTTTACTAGAAAATACATTAATTTTTTAACAGTTTCTATTATAAATATAATAATTGATTACAATTTACGCAATGTCCCACCATGACTATGATTTTAATTGAAATTCTTACAAAAAAATTTTTCCTGTGCATCATATATTTGTAAAAATCGAAATTTTTATAAAATTAAACGTTTAAAAGTATAAAATCTAAAATATATAATAAAATGTTTGATTTTTCTTCTGTTTATAAATAAGATTAAATTATTACTATTAAAAACTTAAAAGTAAAATTTTGATTTATTAACATGTGGTTCTAAAATTAATTCATTGGTAGTTGCAATGAAATAATTGGTAATTGTAACGTTTGTGATACTTTTTTAGGCACTAAGAATATAAAATTAATTCAATTTACGTCCAACAACATGCCATAATAATTGTTGAAAATGTATTAAAAAATAAATCAATTAAAAAAAATCCTATTCTATATTCCTAACTATACATTTTTAAAAAGATGAGAGTACTCTTATGTAAGCTTGCGCGCGCACCTTTGACATTCAGTTTTATATTGCATTGTAGCACCGTAGTGAATGACGTTTTACTGACGTATCACTCTATAGTATCGTACAGGATGATAGCATAGCCACTTACGTGAGAGTAACCTCCAAAATTTACGAGAGTAATTCATAATTGATATTTTTATCTATTATAAAAACAATTCAACATTCGAATTGAACAATTAATAAATTAAATTATTTACGTATATAAATAAATAGCTTTACTATAAATAAAAACTGTAACTATTAAGTTTTCCAACAAAGAAAGAATAAGTACGGCACGAAATTTAACGCTTAAAAGTAAGTTATACATAAATATATATTTTAAACTATGTTTGGTAACTCGTATACGTAAGACTAGTGTTAATAAATTACAAATTAAATCTAACAAAAGAATAATAAATAATCAAGTAAATTGACAATAAATAAATAATAATAAATATAAATATAAATAGTTATACTGACACTGGCACATCCAATAAAATTAATAGCAATAAAGCCTCTAAACACTTAAAACCATAATTAAAACGATCTATAAATAGTTAATCAATTGTTAATCAATAAATCATCATCATCATCATCATCATCATAAGTACTGTCGGTGTTATCTTGATCAATAGTCGCTGAATTTAAGGTTGTTAGTGGTGGTGCAGTCAATGCACTCAAGCCGCTCTCAACAAGACTGAGCAGACTGTCATGTTCGACTCGTTTCTCCTTAGCAGCTTTCACCTCCTGATTATTCTCAGTATTTCGTGGCAGCATTGTCGGTGCAACCCTCGTATTGTCATTAACAAACTGTTCGAACTTTGAGATAGGTCGACTGGTCGTCATCATTTTAGACCTCGAGGCAATAGCATTGTCAGGAGGCAAACTGTGCTTAATAACGGTCGGTTTGTACGTCTTCACTTTCGAGTGGCCTTGAATTATCAGATACATCGGTTTGTGGATAGGCTGCTTGGAATGAAACGAAATTGAGTTGCTGCTTTGTTCATTGGATAATATCGTTGTCGGAGGATCAGCTGTAGTTGATTTTTCAAAAGGGTTCCTAGTAGATGCAGTAAAAGCAGCAGTAGGAGTAGCAGAAGTAGTTGAAGTTGTCATAGTCATTCTCATCAAATCTTCCTGATTCAGAATAGCTGCCAACGGTGATTTGATGTCTGAGTTATCCAAAACTTGCCGTCGCATTGGATCAACAGTTGTTGGTGCTTGCATTGAAGTTAGCGGCAGCTTTTGCAAGGGCATTTGATGGATCATTTCATTATTGGGAATGTGCTTCATTTCTGGATGCCCTGGTCGCCTTGGGAACACTCGGGGAGGAAGTTTTGATTGTCGCCATGGAGTCCTTGTTGATTGGATTGGAATTGGAGTAGACATTGTCGTGATGGTGGTAGACAGTGTGGGTATTGTCATGAAGACAGTGGTGGTTGGTTCATTTTCCTCAGAAACATTGGATTTATAATTCATTGGCATGACAACTGTGACTGTGACGCTTTCATCAGAAGTGGAAGTGTTTGGTAACACCACGTGTGTTTCGGGAGCAGTTTTGTTTTCAAGCATATTTGATTCTTCGATTGAAACTTCTTTCTTCCCGACGACAACTTGCTCGTTTTTCTGGCTGTCATCGACAATTATGTTGGTGTTCTGCCCCATAATTACTTGGTGGTTGGAAGATGCTGCTGCGTGATGGTCGAAGTGATCGTCATACTTGTCGTTGGTGAGCCACGTGTTTATCGATGACTCTGAATTGCCCGTCCAAGGATCCAAAGTTTGGGTGGATTGGTAGATTAGGTTTGATTTATCGAAAGCTAGTGAAGTTGACAGCGGAGCTTTTTGAGGAATTCTCAGATGTCCTGGTCGGAAAGCAACAGTTACTTCTTCATTCAGAGATCCGAATTGGTTCAGTTGAGATTTCTGGTTAATTGGCGGCGGCATCATCATTGTGTAGGGTTTGGGTTTTTCGTTGTAGTAAGGGCTTGGATAGTAACTGGCTGGGAGTGATTGAATCCGATTTTGATTCCTGAAGTCTATGGAGTTTCCATTGACGTTGATGTTTGTCCGAAACTTAGTAGCCCTTACTAGCTTGGGAGGTTCCGCTCCCGTACTCCCAGTGAAATCATTCCGGAAACCATCTTGAGACTCTTGGATTCGAGTCAGCTTTGGAGAATCGGCAAATTTCAGGTAGTGTTCAGATATCTTCGGGCTTGTCTTCTTGGCAGTGACTCCTAAGATGAGAATGTCGCGTTTTGATGAAGCTTCAGTACTAGTTTGGGTGTCTAGCCAATACTGAACACGGTCCAAAACTGGAGGGACGTAATCAAATGTCGGATCGTTCTTTAAAGGATCTCCACGGCCCAATGGTGTCCACTCGTCGTAATCCATCCGGGGGGAAAATATTCTTGTTTTGTTGGTGTCATTGGAATCTAGAATTGAAAAATTCTGAAAATTATTATTGAATATTTTTAATGAGAAATTGAATTAGTGTGTGCTAGTAAAGTCGATGCTAATAACGGGGATTGAGAGAAATAACGGATTAAAAAGGTTTGGTAAATTTAAAAGTGCATGACTTATACTGCTCATTTATTTTTTAATAAAAAAGACATTTTATTGCTGATTGATAACGTATAAAAAAGGAAAAAAGTTTGAAAAATTATAATTATAAAAATTAGGAAAACGGTTGACCCTAAAGGCCATCCCTGCAACTTCCCGCTCATTTCATACTTAAGCGCTCAAAGTCGCACTTATTACGTTTTTGAGCTCTCCGAGCTCGAAAAATTCAATTAAAAAAAAAATACCTAAACTAGGCTACTGATATGATATACGGCACCAGTTCATCGAATTCTTGAACTAATAAAAAAAGCCCGGTCTCGAAATATTAATTTGTTCGAGTGTAATCGTTAGTAGATACAAAATGGGGTGACATCAGGACGTCCACGTAAAATTTTTTTCGAACCGTTTTTTTTTTTTTTAAATAGCAACATGACATGATTTTAGAAAGTGAAAGATGGTTTAATTTAAGTGTTTTCTCGGTGTACATCTACTTATATTATTGTATAAGTGCAATATGGTTGTGAAGGAGGCTTTTGAAGATCACAAAATTGCTTAACCTTGACGAGTCGGGTGTAAAGCACAACCTTACGCACTTTGCGCTATGAGGCATGCAATTTATTATTAATAGTAATTAACCTAATTTTTATTTGAAATATTTCACGGTATTTTCTTTATTTACTGAATTGAGCACAAGCTGGAATTAATATGCATGCTCAAAAAACAATTATCCATATTTGTCATCGTAGAGAAGACCGATAAAATTTATTAGCTTGCTATTAATTATAATTGAACGACATCGAGTTAGATAGCCATTTACGATACCAAGATTGTTATTGACGAAAAGAGTCAATTTAAAAAAAAAAAATTCTTGATGAACTTTTTTTTTGTTTCTATAATCGTGATTTATTTTTTTAAATTACAGAATTAACCTTCATCAAACTACATCTGTACTAACCCATACAGATTGTTTTAGTTTTATCAACTAACAAAAGTATGATAATAAAAATAATTATTTAGAGGGGGAAAAAAATTTTTATTACATAAAGAACTCTCTAATGCTTTTGGTTGCAAGTCGTGCTAAAATCATAATTCTTCAAATCGCAAGTTATAAGTTTATTATTAAATACTAAGAAAATTTTAGTTGCAAGTGATCATTATTAAAATTTTTTGACCTTTTCTTAATTTTCCGAACTTTTTAGAAGTATTAAAAAAATTTGACAAATCTTCTAAGAGCTCTCGAAAGATATCTAAAGGAAGTAACCGTCAAAATCTAAATAAACTGATTGATTAGAACTCGAAATATTCTTCAAGGTATATACTTTTAAAATTTGCCAAAAATAATATTGATTTTTTTCGAAATTCTAGACTGCAATGTTTAAATCGAGCTTAGTACAACATTTTCTTCGAAATTGCAATTTTAATGTAATTTACTTCTTAATTGAAATCTTTGAAGGTTTTTCGAATTAACCGGCTGCAAAATTTCTCCTTAAAATGTTCTCAGTGATGTTACTGCGAAAAATCTATTCATGCATGGTATATACGATTTATCTTTGTGCGTTAGAACCTTGAAGTATATGCTCATTCGCTACAATTTTCAATGCAGGAGGTGAAATAGCTTCGACACATTTAATAAAATTAATAAACTATTGTATTGAATAATCTTTTGTACTCCTAAGATTATAATGATGATGTGACTTGGAATAATGATTGTATAAACAATGTGACATATTCATTGACTCCGGTACATGGTTGATACCCGACGTGTAGTAACAGTCTGGGAACGTGTGACGACGCCAGGTCTCTTAGCACCAAGTGGAGTGTGACCTACTGACCCGAGGACGCGCATCTACAAACGTGTGTATCTACTTCTCAAGTTAACGACACATCAAATCACGCTTATTTTCCATTTTCATTTTCTTCAAGATTAAAACATTTATTCTTTAGCTAACAAATTAAATTATTACCATCACTGTCATTTAATGTTAATATCAATGCTTATGTTAATATCGCAAATTAACAAACGTTTAATATTTTAATAACTTACTCATTTTGACGTCAAACGGCTGAGAATAACTTTGACAAATTGTCCAGCAGAATAAAATTGTGAGACATCTTGACTGATACATTGTTTTACTATATCTGTAACATGACAAATAATTTCATTTTTCTTTAGGATCAATACAATGTAATGACATTTTAAAATAATTATTACAAATTTATTGGTGAGAAAAATTTATGGACAACAAAGGTAATTTTGGTAATAAAGTATATCAATATTTTAAGACTGTCAATGATGACCTTGCAAGCTATACTTTCACGATCTTGAGTAGAACAAGTTTACTATTATACACTACTCTACACTACACTACACTACACTAGAAGCCATCATATACTGAAGTGCGAGCGCGAAATCGCATTGACTACCTAAGCAGCTACTATGAGAAAGTCTTTAGACATGGATTTACCACCAAGTCGCACGGTTTCACCTTAAGCCCCGTGATTATTAACTTCATTAGACAACGTCAATCGATTCCTCCACACTTTTGTCACTAATATATGTATCATAATCCTGAGAGACTCCAAATCTCAAGGTGTTCAAGAAACTATGAGAAACCAGGCAATTACTCTTTTTTTTACAAAAATCGAAATTTGTGATTTAAAAATGACTCCTACTTTCAAATTTTATGGGCTTCTTATTTTTATTAAATATTTGTGAAAAAATAGTCAAATTTTTTGTAATTTTTTTTTTTGAAATAATAAAATGTAATTTTTGATTTAATGTGTATTTTAACCAAAATAAAATGTTATCTTCCATTTTATGGTGTAAATAAAAAAGTTTAAAGTATTAATAGAAGACTTATTTTCCGTGTATTTTCGAATTTAAACGATAATTTTTCAGACATTACTCATGGTTCGATAAATTATTTTCATTTTATTTGAACCATAATGACTACGTGTTTTCAATTAGCATTAGTCATGACAAAAATAAAATTATGTTGTTTTTTAATAAATTTATTGTTCTAGAACACTATACTTCAGAGATTAAAATTTTTGCATTTTTTTGTAGCTGTTTATAATTGAAAATTTACAATTGAAAATACTTTGTATTCCCCTTGCTATTTTCTTTAACGATCAAAACCTTAACTTTTATTTTTCCATAAAATAATAAATACTTTTAACAATTATTCCATTCAGGTAAAATTTCTCAATTCTGCTGCCACTAATTTCGAAAATTTAACCAAAATAGTCACGTATAAAAAATCTAAATCGCTACGTGACACCTTCCCACTCTCGCTACGTGACACCTTCCCACTCCTGTTAAATCATCTATTTACAGTCGAAAGTTCCATCAGCATAATCGGTAGTAATAAGTGAATGAAAAAATCCGAGAATGTAAATGATTAAGAGGAATTACACGACATAATGTAAATGAAATTGGTGCACAATGGTTTATATGATAACCGAGCACGTGGTAACGGTAGACGACGCTGCGGGCGTTGATCTTCTCTTTTAAAACGCGTTCTCAGCCCCTTCAGTTTCAGTCTCATACGATAAATATATTAAGAGAAAGAAAGAAAAAGGATCCATACAATTACCCTTGGACTTGGAGCCCGCGGAAAATCAAGATCTTCCGAGCTATATGATCAAGTAATTGGCACGACTTGTGCCCAAGCCGACTGTTCCCACACTCAAAAATCATGGACCACTTTCACTAAATATTTGCAGTATGTGTGTGTCCCATTGAGTAATGTGAAATGTCTCGTAATTTTTTTTACTTCGTCTTCGGCTTAAGGAAGTAAATGTTTATTTATGTTAGTTTTTTTTTTTTTAATTTTTTATCCTTCGTCTTCATCCTTCTCCTTCATCTTCTTATTTATTTATTATTCTTTTTTTTTCGGTATTATTTATATTTTAATTCATGTATTCAATATCCCGGAAACTCATCGTTGTTCCCATTAGCGATACAGGTGGGCTGATGAGAAAAAAAGGTTAAATTGATGATGTACAAATGTATTGTGAATCACACATGTAGGATTAAAATTCAGTATAATGGAAAGATTGTTATTGTTGTTGTTGTTGCGGATAGTGTTGATGTGAATATTAAAAATTCGAAGAATATAAAAAAAAAAAAAAAAAAACAATTTATAAAAAAATAATTATTGGGTACACTTGGCATGTGAGTCCCGAGCACGAGCCTGAAAGTATCTCTGATCCAAAAGCCAAGACAACAAGAGTAGAGATGAAAGATCCAATCCGTTCTTCTTCTTGGAGACTCACTACACGAGACAGCGTGGCCCCATACTGGATCGCTTCGTCTCATGCTCTCATATCTAACTCTCACGACAATCACATTTCTATTTATACACTCACATCCTCACTACATGTGTGAAAGATGGCTCATCACCATCACACAAACTTGGTTAAAGTTTGTTCCTATTGTCAATACACACACATTCCTGTTTTATTAATTTTTATTTCTCAGTATTTGAATGACTAAAAATTTAAACGACCGTTTGAAGGAAAAAGAAATGACCATGTCCGAAATCCATGACCTATTTATTAGCTTCAATCATTACTATGCACGACGAACCACCTGTACGCCCTCCTATCCGAACTGCTGTAGAATTCCTAAGGATTATCTTTGAGAAATAAATATAAAAATGCCAAGTTGTGTCACGCGTGATAAGAATTCCAGTTACCATGGTGTGTAATACTCGCTTATTTTTTATGTTATTGCACTTATTTACATTTTTTTTTTTTTTTTTAACAAAATTGTTACGTTGTTTCTATATCGATAAATACTTTTCTTCTGATTGTTAATTCTTCAATTTTATTGATTAGTAGTAAAAGAAATTTTTCCATCTTCCATAATTAACTTTCGAGGCAATGTTAAAAAAATGATATTAAGATTTTGCATTTTTTAAAAAACTACAATAATTTTTTATCAACTTTAAAAATTTTAATAATGAATGAACGGAAAAAAAAGTTTTTTTATTTTTAATTATTGTAAGATTATTTTCTAGTACTTTTCGCTAATTTGTAATTTATAACAATTAGTGAACAGAAAAAGAAAATTTCAGGGTTAACTTTCGATGCAATGTTAAAAAAATTAAGCCTAGATTTTTCACTTTTTTGTTTAATCTGTAGTACTATTTTTTTTAATTTTGACAGTCAATAAAAATAAAAGTTTTCAACGGTTAATTTTTAACGCGATTTAAAAAAAATCATGCTTAAATATTTGGACTTTTCTTTCAGTAGTAATATTGTTATTTAGTAATTTTATATTAATTTGAAATTTTTAATGATTAATTAACAGATATAAAATTCTTTCAACGTTTAATTACGATGCAACATTAAAAAATCATACCAAGATTATTTCACTGTTTTGAAATTATACTGTAGATTTTTAATTCTTATTGATTAGTAAAAAAGAAAAAAAATTATCCAAGATTTTTATCAATAAAATTGTTTTCAATTTTTTATAATAAATTAAAATGTTTAATTGAAAAAATTGTAAGAATACAAAAAAGTATACACGAAAATTGATGAAATTTTAAATAAATAATAATAAAAATAAAAACTTACCTTGTAAAATATGAAAAATATAAAAATATTCCTTCAACAAAAAACAAGATAACGATTACTACGATTAATTGTTCAAAAAAGTAAATTGTTAAGCAAAACCTCGCGTAAAGTCATCTTGACTTATCGGAATAAGAGTAGTATTAGGTCAATGGGTTTGAAGACGAGTGATTTATTACTGGAAATAAAATAACTGGAGAAATAAACGAATGAGAATGAGAATGAGATAAATAAAAGACCGAGCGGAACGAATACCAATTGATTGACGATTAACGACCGCGGTTTCCGATATGATCGGCAATGTTGTATTGGCAAATACAAGCTCGTTGTATGTTGCTCAAAGCGCAGAGATGAACTGAACTAAATGAATATACGACTAACTGCCGGCCGGCCGGCACTTCTGCCTTTACTTCTGAACAGTCTCAGGTCTCAAGTCTCATACGAATACGAGTCTCTTTACCTTTTGCCTGGGGTGATCGGATATCCAGCTGGTTTAACCAATCACGACTTTCCTATATCCCACATGTGCATCACACACTTTTATGCACTTTTCACCCACTGAAATTTGAAAATTTATTCAAAAAACGAGGCATCGGTACTTGGATGCAGGCAAGACTTTTACTCTTTTTAATTTTCGCCTTTGATTTCAAGAATTTAATTTGAGTTTCTGTTATTCTTGTAACTTACAAGTCATTTAATTTTATATTTGATTTACTAATATAGAATATTTAAGAAAATTACTTAAATTGTGTAATTAATTTTTTTTAATTCCGAGAAAGAATTTTTTTTATAGTTAAAATAATTTTTTGATGCATAAATATAAAAAATGTGAATTTAACTATCAAAATTTCTAACATGTAACGAATAAAAATTTAACCCGTAGTGGTCATTGTGGGTCTAGATGACCCCAGGCAATTTTTGAGTTGCTCTTGCTTCGAAGATATCATTCAAAATAGTATCTGTGGTACCATCTATTATTGTTTGAAGATTTTTTGAGATTCATGGAAATTTACGATTTCAGTTGCACAAATAAATATACTTTTTGAAAAGCTCGACATGACACCACTTTTTTTTCAAAGTATGTCATGTCCGGAGTAGAACCCCGAAGGTCATTTTCATTTATCTTAAAAAATGAAGTTTTTAGTAAAAAAAAGTCAAATTTTTCGAAATTTGACTTTCTCGGACTTTTTTTTATAATTAAACAATTAAAAACAAATTAAAAAACGACTGAGTTATTCAACGGAAGTGTTAAGAATTACTCTCATGTACGGCTCGAGTGAAGATATTGAAAAGAACGCAAGTAGCAACAATTTTTTCCGTGCATGGGGTCAACTAGACCCAGTATGACCACTACGTTATTTTTAACAAGTGACCCCTACGGGTTAAGGGGTTACATAGGTTTTATGGTTTCAAAAAATCGATTTTTTTTAAGTTTTATTAAATTCTTCAACATCTCTAGGATATTGTCTTAGAATTTCAAATCAATCCGAATAATAGTTTCGGAGATACACCTTTAAAAAGTTGCGCGCTCAAAGTGCTGTTG